AGTTTCATGAATAATATCTTTAAAAGATAAAAGACAACCATCTATGATTTCTACATGTATATATTTAGATTTCTTGACTAAATGTATTTCTTGTTTCTTAACAAAGTCTTCATTTATAAAATAGACTAAGGCTCTTAAATCTAATAATGTAAAGACTTTGTGGTTTTTACGTCCTAAACATACATCTATTGTAAAATAAGATGAAGGATCTGAAGAGAAAATAGGACCTTTATTAGATATTGCATATGATTGTAGCCAAGCAATTCCTATTATAGCTAGAAAAACTTATTTTTTGACACATTATCTTCTTTGGCAATTGTGTTGTTTATTTTTTGATTATGTTGCTTCTTTGGACAATGTTGAGTAATGTACTTAGTTTTTCCATAATATAAGCATAAATCCTTTTGATGATGTCAAGTTTTTTCTTTCTTAGTGAAAAATTTACAATATATTGAATCAATTTGTATTGATTTTGGCCTTAATATATAAGTTTCTAAAAATTTGGAAGCTATCATTATTACTTGGCTTGTTTCTCTTTAGTCAATTTTTTTTTCTTAAATTTTTTGAAATAATTAATTATTGTATGTAATGGCTTAAGCAATAAATTATCTCAAAGATTTTATTTTTGACATTTTCAATAAGAAATCTTTGATGTTATCTTTCAATTCATATCAAAATTGATTTGTAAGAATTTTGTTATTCTAATCCATATCGCAAGTGAAGTTTTAGAGTTCAGCAACATATATGATAGATGATTCTTATCATAAAGACAAGAGTTTGGTCTCTACTATATTTTTTCAATCACTATCTATAAATGTAGCCATAAATACTTCTAAAAATAAATTCAAATCATAAAAGAATAATAAATTATTTTCTATTAATAGTATAAACTAAAAAATACTTTTAGATAGAAATATATTTATGAATTCAAATTCATTAAATCCATTAAGATATTAGAAGGGATTCAAAATACAATAATAGAAGTCGAATAATCCACTTACTTCTAAAACAAGATAAGAATAATAAGTTAGCATTTTTGTCAAATTATCAAAGACATGAATCTCAAAAGAAGAAATCTTCAATATACTCTTGTGTTATTCACAAAAGATTAGGAAATCACTAAAGAGGGTAGTATACTAAATTAGAATGGATATTGTCAAAGACAAGAAGATCATACAATCTTGAAACAAAACTAAGAACTAAAAAAGCATTGCCAAGAGTAAAGAAGGCTTCACTTTTGCCTCCATATATATTCTTAACTAGGAACTATGTGGTAGTATCCTATAAAATCTCTTAAACATGTTGACTTTGTAAGACACATGTCTTAACTTGCAAGACAAGTTTTTTATATATACGCCATATAATTAGCTTGTTTTATAAACTATTAACATGTAGATAACTTATTGACCAAGTTTCTAACTTGTCAATCAACTACAAACACATATAAAGTCAAAGCAGCATCTATGAAGCTTCTAGAAAGCTTCTATAGAAAATATATTGAAATAAATTTAATTTAACCTACTTGTATTTAATTATATAAGTAAATATTAGGATAAATATGTATGTTTGTGACAATTGGACACATATCATATAGCTTATATGATATTGCTATATAATTTTTTAATATATAATTTATATAGAGGCAAATTAAGACCTTCTTTTTCATTACTAATGTCTTTTTTGTAATATATTTTGATTCAAGATTTCTTATTTTATTTACATTTGGTAATAATTATTTTAGTTTCAATTGCATATTTATCTTTCAGTTGTCTATATTTTTTTTTTGGTGATATAAGAATATATTATTATTTTTATAATTTTATTATGGTTTATATTCTTGATATATATAAATATATATAAAAAATATTTAAATATATATATATATATATATATATCATAGAGAAAATGATTTTTTTATTATATTTTGTAATAAACGTTACAAAATAAAAAATAATGCATGTGATTAAGGAAGAATAATAAAGTGGCTCAAATTCTTACAAAAATGACCTACTCTATCTTCAACATCATTGTACTCTTGTAGCCTCTATTCTTATTCTTAGATGTTCTCCATTCTCAATCATTGCTAAGGACAGGAGCAAGGAATTAGAAATGTCACAAACAAACACTGACAATTGAGTATAGAAGAACAATTGGAAACATCGTTAGAGTTGAAAATAGAGGAATGGCTAAGAATGAGGTGATAGTTGGGAACAAGGAAACGGCTTGGAATGGGAACGAGGTTCAAAAGATATAATAATGGTTTAAATATGTAGGTTGATTTAGTAAAATTTTGAATTGCTTTATCATTGCCTTAATTAAACTATAGAAATTATAAATAAATATTAATTAAATGACACTTTAAAAATACTTTAGTATTAAATCAATATATATTTTTTATACAAAATATAGAATCAAAATTAAATAAATATATTATGTTGTAATAAAATAAATAATAACACTTTGTCCTAATACAATATATGTCCTCCAACTTTATTACCATCCTACCAAATACAATTATAAGGAATAATATATGGTTCTAATCTTACAAGCAACAATATCAAAATACCAACCATGTTAAAGTTTAACATCTTTCCATCTTATATTAAAGCAAAATTCAACATCAAATAAGCTCAATTAAAATAAACTCCTTAAAATTCTAACAAGTCCAACATCAAAACCTAACTCCACTGCAAATAAATAAAATGGATATTTATTTTTTTAAAACAGGGATATTAACATAAAACTAGAAGAAGGTGACACATATATACTATAAATTTGGCATTACAAGTCATGAAACCTATAACCTTGATTGGTCGATGCCAACTCAAGAATATTGACTCTTCAAAGTTTCAAAAACCAAAATAGATCTTACCACAAACCATGCCACGTCACCCATACTCTGATTGTAGGGCAACCCAAACCCAAAGACGCCAACTCAAGTGATGAGCCCAGTGAGCTCTTCCAGCTCAACACGAGTTGGAAGTGGGGGTGACGGCGTCTGCAGGACTGAGTGAAGAGACATGGCCGTGCACCACCTCGGATCACCAGGAGGCTGAAGCCTTCCATGCAGGTTGCAGAGCAAACCAGCGATGGAAATGTCCAGGTATGGGATCCAACCACAACAGTCACGCCTGTGCTTGGACTTGCAGGATGTTACTGATCGTTGATTAGTGCAGGTTGGTGACCATTACCCCTCCCCCCCCCCCCCGAGTCCCATCGATTCATGAAGTGTGTGGAGCTTCGTCTAATGCTGGTTGGTGATTTTTGGCTTATCACCGGATTCTCCGCCCGAGGTTAAGTTTAGTAGTTTGGCGTGATGAAGTCTCTCGTGTTCACAGGGTCGCCCAAAAGAGTTAAAAGTGGATTGTTTTCGAGGGGGTTTTTCCCCTTCTTTCTTTTGTATTTTCAATCTCACCATCCAACGAGAGCCCAAGGGCCCACGTCGAACCACCTGTTTCCAGGGATTCTTGCTGCCTTTCGCCATTCGAAATCTAAAATTGCAGCGCAATTATAGACATGGTGCCGCATTGGCATCGACAAGACCAGAGAAGAGCGGGTCTGAGATTAGGCTCCCGTCCTTGATTGTCGTTGGATAGTGTCCAAGCCTTACATCGAAAAACTTCCAGGAAAATTGGTAGACTTGTTTGTTGTTTCATCCCCTACAGTTCTGCAGAAAAAGCATTTATCGACGAGGACTGGTGGTACTTCCATTCGATGCACCGCTAACCTCGGGTGGAGGCTTAATCTTGCAGGGCTCACTTGAAGAAACGTAAACCGTTGAAAAGACATCGCGTGTGTAGTTCCTGTCCTTGAAACACTTGGGATCGTTTATAGATGTTGCTAAACGTAGACTACACATTCCCTTGCAATGTGGATGAATATTCTCTGGCTGCGGGCTCTGATTCATACTCATGCACTCAAGAAGTTCGCAACACTTTCTGAAAAGATCGAGGACATATACTCTCAAAAAGAAGAATTGTTTGTAAAGACTCATGGCAGAAGTGTGCACATACATCCCAACCCTTACATTCCGATAAAATTATCCCATAAACATTGTAAGGCACATAGAAATCCTATATTTGTTCGAAAACATCGATTACTATGGTTTGTCATTAGTATTAGCTCATTTAGTTGTAGACGGAAAACCTCCGAGTTACTACGTCAGTTGCAACAAACTTGTGGTCTGCAACGATGAGTGGAGGGTGTTGGCCTCTTACCCCACGAAACTGCTGGGATCCAAACTTTTAACTTCCAATACTCTGCGATTGCGAGGAGAACCCGTGGAGAGTCTGGATCGGGAAGAGAATAGTCCAACGCAACAACCGAGCCATCCCTGGAAATCCAGAGGATCACCAGGACGTCGGCGCGAGTTACCTCGTAAAGCTAGTGAGTTGCCCTGTGGGTCTAGTCTAGACTACTCTTTTTCTAGATCCGCATTATTAATCTCCCATTGCCACCCGTTTATGTCGGCGTTCTTTATGGCACGAACTCTCTCAAACTGGTTCCACATTCCAGCGGCTGCTATGGTCGATCGATCTCGTGCTGGGGAATTTGGAAGCTGTGGTTCTGGTGAGGAGGATGGGTCGTTGCTCGAGCCAGGCAGTGTCTCATTTCCAGTACTGTAGTGCACAGGTGAGGAAGCCGATGGGAATTGTGAGAGTTGTGCGGGTTGCTAATTGATGCGAATGTGGCCTGGATCGGAGCGCAACAGTGTGGAAAGTTTTGGAACGTGGGCTGTGGTGAGGAGCAGTTTCGTGGGGTGCGGGTTTTGAGGGAAGAATCTTGGACTGTGAACAGGACGCTTTGAAGGACAGGTTCGGGGTGTCGCAGTCTCCGGTGCAACAGGTAATGGTTGACGACTGGGTAGTGAAGATGTGCACGGTGTCGAGCGAGGGATTTGGGTGCAGTTTTGCGCGAGAGTTGCTTGTCTGGTCGAATTTCGAAAATCTGAGATGGAAGTGGGTATAGAGAACAGCCTCCGTGCAGGAGATTCTTCACCGAGTTAAGGGTGGTTTTGCAAGGACTGTTCAGTTGCGGAACTCTCAGGTGCTTTGAGTCGTGGCTCAAGTTAGTTCAGAGATCGCAGAGCTTCTATGTAAACAATGATCGATAGTCTCGTCGATTTTTGACGATATTTGTTTGCAATTATCTTGCTATCCATCTGGGCGCGCAGACGGTGTTTTTTGCAGCTTCGGCTTTGAACTGGGTTCCTCTATCCCATAACAGCTCCACAAGTACGCTTCTTTCCAAAATTGGATGTGTTTGTGACCCAGAACTAGGACTTGGGCTTGGGAGTTTCACTGCGAATCGAAACCGTGGTTACGATATCCTATGATATCCTTGAGCACTAGAACCCTGAAGTCGGTTTCAGTTTTATCTAAAGAATGTGGAAATGGTCGTGAAGATTGGCAGCATGTGAATGCCGACAGGGAGATGACTAGGCATTGTTTAAAATCGGAGTTCTTTGCATAGGGCGGAGACATGAGTGAATGTGATCAAAACGAATCAGTTTTTGTCTTGTTTTTATTTTCATTTTTATTTATCTTTTGTTTTTGTTTTGAGTTGATTTCTAGAACAGGTGAAGCCGCGTCACAAACGTGTCTCCTTAAAGCAACCTAAAATTTTCTTTGCGAGTTTCTCCTTCCAATCACTAGGAAATTGCAAGTAGCTGAGAGTAGTGAGAGTGGCGTAGTTCCTGACTCGCGTCTTGTCGCCGTGAACTTAACTTGAACAGTCTCTGGTTACTTTCAATGGGTTCTTGCATGATACAAGTTTTTTAGGTTCTACAAAAGAACTTAAGATTGATTGTGTCACTGTTCGACACATTTGAAATGTGCTGTAAAGGCCTAGTGTCGTTTACTGACATTCATTTATCATTTTTTTTTTTTGTGGATGCAGCAGAACAAGCTTCGGGAGTGATTGTTGCCGAATCTAGCACTGTTGGTGTTCAGATGTAACTGCGAATGGGACACCGGGAAATTGATTCTTCCCAGCGCTCGCAGGTACTCAAACAGATGTTCCACATGAGGAGCTTTGTCGTGGGCTTACAAGGTGGACAGAGATGGATGATTCCGAAGGAACCAAGACCCGTCCTGCTTCCAAATCTTCCTACAATTTGCCGAAGCTTATGAGCGAACATGATTCTTGCACAACACCATTCCACATATTACACCATATTGGCTTGACACTCTTTCCCACTGGAGAGACATGAAAGGGTACAATGGAAGGTTCTTAACCCCGCTGGTAGTGCTGCTGGTATTCCTGCACGGGGTATCTGCTCAAACGCTGAGAGAAGATGAAGAGAATTTCTTTGCTTTTCTCAAGAGTGCCCTTCCAAATTTATCCTCCGTATTCAACACTACAATTCCAACATGCGACTGGTACCCACGGGTATACTGCATTGGATTGGGAGCTCAGCGACGAATCTTTCGGTTATATCTGGGTGAATCAGGCTTGAATGGTTCCATTCCGAACAACACCTTGGGCGCTCTCTCTGAATTGTCGGTCCTCGATCTATCCAACAATTTTCTTAGAGGCGAGATCCCCCCCGACATTTTCAAGCTCTCAAACCTGGTCCACTTGGGCTTAGCTAACAACAGACTGACTGGGAATGTGTCTAATGGGGTGAGCAATCTATATCAGCTGTCGAAGTTAGATCTCTCAGGGAACCGACTCAGTGGTGCATTGCCTGGTTCACTTGGCGCTTTGCAGGGACTCAAATTCTTGGATCTCCATGGTAACAATTTCTCCGGCCCCCTGCCGAAGCTTGTCAATACGGCTTACATCAGGTATCTTGACTTGTCTTCGAACTGGATTACAGGTGGTATTCAGTCTGAAACGTTACGTAATCAAGAGCTGGTGTATCTGAATCTGAGTAGAAACTTGCTCTCTGGAGTGATACCGAAGGGCATCAATTCATTGTGGAGGCTTCGGTTTCTAGACCTTTCGGGAAATGACTTCGAGGGTGCTATTCCAGATTTGTCCAATTTAGGACAGCTACGAATGTTTGACGTCTCTTCCAACAGATTGAATGGTAGCATTCCTACTAATGTGACCAGGCTTCCTTATTTGCGTACTCTCTCGGTTGCTCATAATAAGCTTACAGGCTCCTTGCCATCACTTCCATGGGGTCTCAGCAGTGCTAAAATCATAAAAGTGGATTGTAGCGACAATTTCCTTACTGGTAGCATTCCGGAGGGTTTGCTTGCGTCGGAAAATCTGACTATTTTCCGATTGGCAAGCAACAAATTTTCGGGACGCATACCCAGCAACATATCCGAGCAGCTACAGGAGTTGGATCTGCGAAGCAATAGATTCACTGGCGAAATCCCTGAGGCACTGGCACGATTACAGTCGCTGAAGTACCTGGATCTTTCTGCGAACTTGCTCAACGGAAGTATTCCATGGGGTTTAACAGAAATAACTTCCCTACAGCATTTGAGTTTGACGGGGAATGGCTTTGAGGAGGGTGTTCTTCCAGATTTTAGTCAGATGGGGAGCCTCGAGCATCTCAATCTGTCATACAGCAACATAGTTGGCGTCATACCGGCTTCATTTGGTGAACTTAAGAGTTTGGCGCAACTGGACTTGTCGCACAACCGCCTAAATGGCTCTATCCCCACAAATCTTTCTTGGGCAACCAATTTGACATCTCTCGACCTGTCTTACAACAACCTCACCGGAACGATCCCTCCAGAACTCATTTCACTGACTTATTTGAGTAGGTTGAACCTCTCCTTCAATAATCTGAGCGGTGAAGTGCCATCCGCAAATCAGTGGGGTACTTTGAACCCTTCTTCGTTCGAAGGGAATCCTCTGCTCTGTGGAGTAGTCGTTGACAGAGTCTGTCCTTACGTCGCTCCTCCTGCACCCTCGCCGTCTCTGCCACTTTTCCCTTCTCCAGATCTCTCCCCAAGTACTGAACCTCGTGGATCGTCTTCAAAGACATTGAAAGTGGGCGCAATCGTTGGCATTGCGGTGGGAGCCGCCGTGGCCTTCTGCCTCTGTGCTTCTTTGAGCACATTAGTTCTCTTCCACAAGCATAAATTTAAGAGAATACCTACACATGATCCAAGTCACTTGGCTGGCTCGGTGACGTTTGAATCGGACCCCAGCGCATGGGCTGCTCAAGTACCGCTAGCGGCATCCATTCCAGTGATCATGTTCGAGAAGCCCTTGCTCAACCTCACATTTGCTGATCTCTTGCAAGCCACGAACAGGTTCCACAAAGATTCGATAATTTTGGATGGCGGCTACGGCCCTACATTCAAAGGCGTTCTGCCTGGAGGCCTCCAAATTGTAGTAAAGGTCCTCTATGAAGGTGGCCCTGGAAATGAACTGGAGAAAGCTGCTCAATTAGAGGCTCTGGGTAAAATCAGACATGAAAACCTCGTGTCTTTGGTCGGCTACTGCATCGTGCGAGGAGAAAGGCTCCTTGTCTACGAGTTCATGGAGAACGGAAACGTGTATCAACGCCTTCACGATCCCTCCGAAGGTGAAATTCTCATACCCTCGTTGTTTTCAGGGATTTTGAGGTTTTAATGGCTTGCACGCGCACTACTCTTGACAATAGCATAACGGATTAGGTTTCAGGTATTCAGTGTTCGTTTAATTTCTTTCATTAAGGGCTATTCTTATGGACATCTGGTTGGTATCAACAGAAGCGCATCATCCAGATCACTGGACAGTGGAGACATGGGTGGATGCACCCGAGAAGTTCAGCGTGACGGAGGAGTTGAGCTGGCCCATTCGGCACCGGATTGCGGTAGGTGTTGCGCGAGCGCTCGCATTTTTGCACCATGGGTGTTCTCCGAACATCGTGCACCGTGACGTGACATCCAGCAACATCTTGCTTGACTCACAATATGAGCCTCACTTGGCAGAGTGTGGCTTGGCTAACTTGGTTGAATCTCCACGGCACGACACTCCCGTGATGGGCGGCACGGTAGGCTATGTTCCTCCAGAGTATGGACAGACGTGGAAGCCCACACCTCGTGGCGATGTTTACAGTTTTGGCGTTGTATTGTTAGAATTGATCACTGGAAAAAGGCCCACAGGGCACTTCTTCCACGACAGCTACGGCGGCAATTTGGTTGGTTGGGTCCGGTCCATGATCAAAGAGAAGCGGGGCTACAAATGCTTGGATCCAAAGCTACTTGCCACCGGCGTTGAAAGCGAGATGCTAGAGACTCTAAGAATTGGGTACCTCTGCACGGCCGAGCTCCCCACCAAGCGCCCGACGATGCAGCAGGTGGTTGGCTTGCTCAAGGACATCCACGTCGAGGTTACTTACATGTAGGCAATAGATCACTAACTCAAGTTCGCGCTATTTTCATACCAGTGAATGAATTCATAGCTGCCACCTCTAAATAAGCAAGACGATTTAGAGCCTTGTGCAAGCTCTTTCCATTCACTGCTCGTTTCGCATCACGGACCACATTCAACTAAAGAAGCATGGATTTCTCTCTATGTACCGCAACCCCGCTGGAATAGAGATTTTTTACTTGCACTTGTGAGGCCAAGCAATGGAGTCCCTACACATTCAATCAATAATTCGACTCGGATGGTCTCCTTCGACGTACACAACAAATCACTAACTGTACTTACATTGCAGCGTTGGCTGAATTTGACACCCGATGTTTGTTTTCAGACAGAAGCCATCTCAGAGATTTACTGAGATTCTTCCGCCTGTCTGATTTACACAAAAGTCTAGGCAGCGTGGCATGGACAGTGCAGCGTGCTGGACGACGTAAAAAGCAACCTGGGTGTTTGTAGGTTTCCAAAATGATGCAAGCACGGAATGGCAGGAGAGGACTAGCGTGCTTCCCACCGTCGTCGTGTCTGTGGCATCATCAGTTGGGGAATGGCTGGCTTGGAGGGCCTCATCCTTGCTATTGCTTGCCTGTACCACTTGATCCTTCATCCTTGCAATCCTGCTGTTGTTGTTGTTGCTGCTACAATCCCTCGTTGCCATGTACGCGCCCCGCTACGACGCTGCTCTGTTGCCGCCTTGTGTTGTGGACGAGCTTCTCAGGATGCTTGTTGCTTCGTACCTAGGATCATGCTTCACCTCTACTTTGCAGCGTTGCTAGTTTTTGCAACTAGTTCTCTTAATGGTTTTTTTGCTGACAATGAATACATCTACGTAAGCATATCAATTTATCTACATACAATATTACCTTTGCTAAGATACAGGGTTGGTTCACCTTCTGAAACATAACTTAGGTTAAAAATTATTGAGGTTGCCAAAATCATGAATTTGCTCAAGTGTACACTTGTTGCTTGCCTAGTAAATTCCCCCTTGCATGTCCAACACCTTGTCATTGCATATAATGTCAGGTTTCATCAATCCCTAATGGCTACAAATTTATAAATAGAAGGATGTGTAGTCCTTGATTTTACAATCATCAATGCTTAATGACTACAAATTTATAAATAGAAGAATGTGTAGTCCTTGATCTTACAATCATCAATGCCTAATGACTACAAATTTATAAATAGAAAGATGTATAGTTCTCGATTTTACAAATAGCTCTTGTTTAGTGTGCCAAAATTAAGTTTATAATTGTAAAAGTAACCTCATAAGTTATTATTAGCAAGATCTTAAAGAAATATGACAAATACAAAGCAATAGATAATAACCAACTTCAAATAAAGCATCCAAGGATGGTTCACTTTCTCAACCGCAAGGAACCACTTATTGTGTGGGTTCTCTAACATCACTTTTGAAATGTGATGTCATTGGAGCTCATTGAGAAGTAAGGTTGATGCTTTGTAAAGATGCTTGTAATTCTTAAAGAAAAAATCATATTTTCAAACAGTTGATTTGAAAAATTTCTTTCTTGCCACAAGCTGAAGTTATCAAAATGCATGAAGTAGCACGCTCAGCTCATCAAGCTAATATGGATGCAACAATGCATGCTCTATGTACTTGCATTACAAGCTATAATTTGTATAATATATACAATATAAATGAAACGAGATTTTTTTATAATATGGTACTAGTTCAAACGATTTATAACATGGCATGGATAGGATATTTGTATTATTCGCACATAGAGATATGTAGGTAGAGTTGTTTTTGGGAAATTTCTAGAATTGAGGTTAAGGTGGTGGTTCATGTGAAATCCACCAAGGAACCTTCTAGAAAGGCTTAGGGCAGTTATCATGATGAAATCCACCTCTAGAATCTTCTAGAAGGATAGTTATCTTGGTGAGACCTATCATTAGGGATATTCTAGAAAGTTCTAGGATAGTTGAACAAAGTATAAATATGACTAGCTGAGGCCATTTGGGCATTCATTTAGATATGGCTTCAAACTCTTTCTATTCGTAAAGTTTGGTTTTCTTATTCTATTCTTTTTGGTTTTGTTTGATTCTATTTGGTTCTATTCTCTTCTACTCAGTCTTATCTTTCAAGTTCCATTTTATTTAGTTACTTTCAGTTTTATTCTAGTGTGCTTGGTCTTATGTAGATTTGGGATCTATATTGTTATAGATTTGATAAGGTTTTAGATCTTAGAGGATCTAGTCCTATTTCACTAGTATCATAGTGAATATTGTTTGTCCTTTAATAGTATGTTGATAGCTATCATTTAGTTGGAAGTTAATTATTGTAATCATATTGGATACTATTTTTGGGCTATAATAAGCTACCTCAAGAAGTCAACTCGAAGAGGAGAAGGTGTTACAATAGTAAAGTTCAGTAAAGAAATTGCAGCATGGGAGATATGGTGGGGCAATCCTAGATGGAGATTCATACAATATCTTTTAAGCCAGCTAGTTGTTCTATAAGAGCAAATAGAAGCTTCTAAGACAAGGGAGTTGACATTTGTTAGGTCGAAATTAAGCAAGTTTGATACATATTCACGGACCTCAAGGCAAAAAGATGTATGTCAATGGCTCTTCAATATGCAACAATACTTCCAATTATCTAAAGCAAATACAAATAAAGGGATTATATATGCATCTAGTCATTTGAAAGCTATAGCAGGCATTTGGTGACAACATCAAACTCAAAGCTATAGAGCTCAAGGCAGATTTGGTAATTAGAAAGAGTTTGAGACTGAGATTAGGAATCAATTTTGGCCTATCAATGTGGAGAAATTAGTATGCAAATAATTAGCTAACCTTATACAATCTAGGTTAGTATAATATTATGTCTCCAAATTTAAATTCCTATGTCTCAAAATTGACAATTTTTCAAAAATAAAGATAATAGATCAGGTCGTATGAGGATTGAAACGTATCATCCAGCAAGAGGTGGAATTAAGGAATCTACTAACATTCAAAGAGGTAGTTAGGATTGCAGAGAGGATCAATTCTATAGATTTCAAAAATTGTATAGTAAGACCTATAGTGTAGATTCCTATGCCACTAACCAATACTGTGGTGCAACAATCAACACAGATAGAAATTGATGCTTTGTAAGAACTATTGACACCACAAAGATGACAAATATTGACCCAAAAGGGATTGTGCTTTTACTATCGAGAGCTAGACCATCATATTAGAGACTATTTGAAATATCAAAGTTTAAGTACCAATAAATCATGACAGATTTATAATCTCGAGGCCATGAAGTTGATGAAGAAGTCGAGCAAGAAAATGGAGATCTCCAATAAAGGCACTAAGGGCCAATATTAAGAATAGTTGTTGTTTCTTAGAGACAAATATCATAGCCATGGATAATTATTAAAAATATCGACTTGTGTGTCGAATGTATTGACTATGACGATAGCCATGTCAAGTGCTTGTAGATTGTAGCTCTACAAAAAATTGCATCTTGACCACAATTACCAACTGACTTGGAATTAAAATAAAGATGATCAAAAGAGGGAGTATATACCTAGCAGATGATCAATAGAATGTGTTGAGTAAGACAAGTGAAGAAGAAATCCTAAGACTAAATAACACCTATGCTTTGGAGAAAAATTTAGAGTAATAAAGCTTAGATATGATGTTATCCTTAGTATGCTATGGCTAGAGGTGGAAAATAAACAGGTCAATTTATTAGTAGGGACAATCTCTTTCAATGAAAGAAGACAGTTAGTGATTCTTCTTGCCCTTATATTTAGTGAGATAGCAAAACAATCTGCAGCTAAGAGCTTACTTGTAGGAATGACTTTTATGAAGAAACAAATATGGCATAAGCAAATAGTATATGTGGTGGTTCCAGATCTTACCTCAATGGTGGAAAAGACACTCAAAAGAGTAGAAAGAGTAGAACAATTTATATATGAATATCAAGATGTCTTTCCAATCAACTTACTTAGTAGCATGCTACTTAATGAAGGTGCCCCTTTCAAATAGAACTAATACTTACGACCAAACTAGCAAGTCGGCTAATTTATTGCCTAGTATCAAATGAACTTGAAAAGTTACAAAAGTCATTGAATGAATTCTTGAAGAAGAATCTTATTTAAAAAAGCACATCACCATGGGAAGCACATGTATTCTTTGCATCCAAAAAAGATGGTGGACTTTGACTTTGCATTGATTATGAAGGCTTCAATAAGCAGTTGTCAAGAATACATATCCACTTCCACATGTGGATGATCTTCTTGACCAACTTTGAGGTGCAACAATCTTTAGCAAATTAGAACTTTGGAGTGGTTATGGTAGACTTCTATTACAAAAAAAGAATATAAAAAAGATGGCATTTTATATTCACTATACATACTTTGAGTAGCTTGTATTACCTTTTGGCCTTACTAATACTTCAACCTCTTTTATGGGTCATATGAACAGATTATTTCAAGACCATTTGAATAAGTATCTCATCATCTTTATTGATGTTATTGTATTCTATAGTAAAATTCCTAAAGAGCATGAGCAAAATCTATGAAAAGTGCTACATGAGCTATGTGATAGTAGCTTCTATTGCAAAGAATGAAAGTATGAACTTTGGAAGTTGAAGATTACTTTTTTGGGACTTATAGTATCTTTTGAAGGCATGCGTATGGAGCAAGATAAGATGAAAGGAATTGGAGATTGATCAACCTCCATAGATGTTTCTAAAGTCCACTAATTCTTAAGCCTTACTGGATATTATTGATATTTTGTTTGATGATTTGTACACATTATTATCTAATTGATAAGCTTATTGAAAAAGAGTGTTCCATTTGAGTGGAAATTGGAATAGAAAAGGGCCTTCAAAGAATTAAAGGAGGAATTGATTACTACTTTAATATTACAATCGTATAATCTCAACTTTCCATGTATACTTGATATTGATGCTTTTGACTTTGCTATTGGTGCAGTTCTTTAAGAAGACTTTAATAGGAACCTTTAACTTGTGGTGTATGAATTGCACAAGCTCAAAAGAGCAAAGTGAAATTATTTTGTATGTGATTAAGAGCAACTAGCAATTGTACATGCCACAAAATTGTAGTGATACTATTTCTTGGAAAAGCTAGTGATTGTTTGGACTGACCACAAACTCTTGCTACATGATTTTCAGCTGAAAAATATGCAATCACTGCATTATTTTTGGAAAAAGTATTTGCAATTCTTTGACATT